ACCGACATCTGGTGAAAATTTCATGTCATTAGCACCTCTAGTAATATATTTACTGAGAAAAATGGTGATGTGTTCAGTACTTATTTTACCCGCTGTATATACTGTATATCTTGTAAATGGTGTCTCCTTCAGATCCCAGCTGTGGTCTGATCCCCAGGATTCAGTCCGGCTACTCTCTGCTCTGCAACTCTGTGGTTCTCTATCAGTGTCATGCTGGTTTTAGGCTGCTGGGCTCGTCATCGATCAGTTGCGATCCAGACAGAGAACAGTGGAGCTCCCCGCCACCAACATGTCAAGGTACAGAGAATACATCAAAACACTATGGTTCGACTGGAATATTAAATCCTGACAAAAAATAATTTATTTYACACCTTCACTGGGGCTTATTTTGGTTAAATAATAAACTTTTAAACTTTAAACATAAACTCAGTATCTCCATATTCCTCCAATCTCTTTGCAGATATTAATGAATGTGAAGAACTGAACTCTTTATGTCCTCAACACCTGGAGTGCTCCAACACAGCCGGTTCATTTATTTGCTCAGGTGGGTTCAGAACCATTTTCACATTAAGCACTGTTCTGTTCCAGTAATTAAAACAAACTTCTTGTTGTGATGTAGAGTCCTCTTTGCTGTCCGCTGCCTCCATCGTTGCTGCGGTGATCGTGGTGATTGTCGGTGCAGCTGTGCTGGTTTTAGTCATGATCTTCTATCGAAGGTAAATCTGTACATAATATACACTGAATCCAAACTTAGAACAAAAAGTAAGGAAATATGTGTTTGGTAGTTTGTTTCTTTGTTGTAACAGTGTTCTTGGCAATAAATTTTGTACTGTTTGAAAGCCTTTTAATTTCCTTTTTGGACAAGAACTGAACATGTGATGTGATTTGACTCGAGACAACCACACTGTCTGCAGTAATGTAGATGAATAATCAGTGTGAATGCCTTGGCTTACAGCGTTCACACTGTTGTTTTCATGTTTCTTTTTCTGTTTATCGTTACTTTCCCTATTCCGTACGTTTTTCGGCATCTAACTCGTTTATTACATTTTTGTGCCATTCAAGCATTTCATGTATCAAAACATTCAGCTCATTTATGGCAATCCTGTTATGACTTTTGGTATTTCAGCTATTTATACTTTTTCGGCTATTTCACTTTTTTAGCTAATTTTTTGCCATTGAAAATGAATGAAGCTATTTTCAACAACCTTAAAAATCCTTTAAAATAATTCTAAATCTTTACAAAACCTTACACAATTTGTTTTGGTTATGCTTTTATTTTACTCCGCTGTGCTAATTTTAGCTTTTTTCAGCTATGTCAGCTAAAATTCTACTTTCTGCTATTCTTCTACTTTTTCATGCTTTTTTCTGCTACTTAGAGCTGTTTATGCCATATTCAGCTATTTGCTGCAATTTTAGCTAATATTCAGCTGTTGTAAACTAAAGATGGTCTTTTAAACTAAATACATATTTTTTAGCTAATACTAATACAACTTTTAGGCTTTGTTAGGCCAAGAAAGTGACGTGTTCTTTTCCAGAAAGATTTATTTTTCTCTGGAGTTGTTTCACCGTCAGAGACCTGAAGGAGGCGTTCCTCAGCTGAGTTTTTTGCTGAGCTGTTGTAAAAAAGCTTCTGACAAGTTTGAGAGCTTGAACTTCAGTTCCATGGCTRACTATCAGATGACTTTGAGATGCTGCCATCAGTTCAAGCTCTTTCTGTTTTTCAGAAGTGTTTTGTATCTCCTGGGTCTTCTGGGCCACTGTGTCTTGCAGCATCTTGTTTTCCGCCAGGAGGATTTTGTTTTTCCAGATGTTCTTTTTTTAATCTGAAACGAGGCTTTAATTTGATCACTGAGCTCCTGTAGAAATGTTTCAGACATTTTATAAGTCTGAACATTAGTTTCATGGCTGGCTTTAAGCTGTTTGTAAGATGTTGTCATCTGTTCATGCTTTGTTTCCCATTTCTTTTTTGCTAGCCTGTTTTTTTTTTCTGCTATTTCAGCTGTAATTTTGCTCCTTCCTGCAATTCTTCTAATTTTGTCTTTTTTATGCGTCTTTCAGCCACTTTGAACTGTTTAAGCTTCTTACAGTTGCTTTCTGCTATTTGCTGAATTGAACTTGTTTAACTGTTTTGCTATTAAGCGTTTTCAGTTCCATTTCAGCAGCTTTCAGCTGAAGTTTTCAGCAATAGCATTTTTGCAGGAAATTCATTTTCTCTAGTTATATATAAATATATTTTTGGAGTGATTAAAAACCTAATAAGGCTTCTCTAGCAAGTCTCTTCATATTGTTGAATTTGATATTTTCCATTGTTATCTCAGATGTTCCCAGTCATTAATTTCACTTTTAAATGGCGCCACATTTGTAAGGAACATGCATTTGCGGGATGAGCAGTAGAGCTGAGTATGTGGGTTGCACACGTGTAAAATTTGCCAAATAGCTTATTATACTGTTGTTATGACTCTTATTTTGAGCTTCCAGTACCCCCAGGTGCTGCCAGTTAGGAGTTCAGTATAAGATTTATTGTCAAGAAGCATTGTTGCAACAAAAATCTACCAAACACAAATTTCATAGCTTTTTGTGCCATTATTCAAAATGAGGCTACAAGTAGAATATGATTTAGCCTATTTAATGATATAAATATTTCTAGTCATCTTGTTCTTTAATGTTAAATGTGTTTTTTGCAGATACTTTCCCAAAGCAGAAGAGTTGATCTCAGCTGAACTTTGCCAGAAGAATTCATAAACATCCTGCTGTAGGTTATTAACAACATCACTACAMGCTGATGAAATCTTCATCTGTACGAAGTGCCTATAAAAACAGAAGCTTACAGGAACTCAGTCAGGAAACTAAAATCCTGCTGGAATGTTTATTCTATATATTTTCAGACTTTAAAAGCCTCTGAGCTGAAAGTTTTATTACTTCCTCAGTGTTACTGAGCCTGATTCCTGCTAAGCTGTCAGAGTTGGATCAGGGGGACCAGGTGGTTCTCAATCATGATCTAAACCAGAAAACATGTTTTGTACCAGAAGGAAATTAAACAAATGAGATGAGTTTTTTTTTTTGTAAAAATAAATAAATAAATAAAGTCAGTCAGTCTGGAGGTGATAGTTGAGCAAAAGAGCCTTTTGTTTAATGGAGTGTTACATATTTAATAATCATTCCAATTGCATAAAGACAATTCTTCATTTTTACCATCAAGCTTTTCTATAAAAACTGTCCAATAACAAATCTACATTATGACGTAAAATTATATGGCTATTCTGTTTTCATCCCAAGTAATTTATGACTTATTGTGTTGTTCATTGCAGAGTAAATTAGAATTTGAAATACTTCATTAAACTGTAATAAAGCTGGTTAATGTTTTAAACACTGTAAAGCTGTCACTGCTGGCTGTGTATTAACTAATGAAAATATGTCTAATGAAGTAAAATGTGTACATAAAGCTGWGTGGAGACTGATTTGTGGTTTTATGACACATCAGAGCAGAAACACATGAACAGAATTAACACCTGCAGACGTTTGATGACATTTGAACATCAGTATATCTACGGATGTGTTTGTTTTTTTAGGCTGTTTTCTTGTTTTGTGCTCATTGTTTTAAAAAAGTAATTAATACCTGAAACTGTCTCAACTTGATCAGTTGCCTCACAAGATTAAAACCAAACAAACTATATCAAAGTCACTTAYTGGAAGACAGATCCATTTCGTAGCATGCTGCACAACAGAAGGTCTTAATAAATGTGTGTTCCTGCAGTGGCACTTCAATATTTCCAGCTTACCTTATTGTTTCAGCTGTAAGACTAATGTGCAACCTGAACAATAAAAAATGATCTAAGACCTGTGGGAGCGCAGCTACTYCGAACATGTAGGACATGATGAGAGTTCTGGGATGGACTGTCAGGTCCTTTAGCCCTGGTCTGGGAGGTAGAAACCTAACTTGACGACTGTCATCTCTCTGCGAAGACGCAACACCTCCCAAAACATCTGCTCCACTGGAAGATGACAAAACAGTCCTGTAATCTGACAGATTAAATCTGTTTTCAGAAAACAAATAGAAGTATCTGAACTCACCATCATGTCTGACCAGACCTTGCTGAATGTACCGAATATAAGTAAAGAAGTTGCATACAGCCGTGATCTAGAAGAAAAAAATAAAATACAAAAAAGGTAATTTTCCTATTTCGTGTCAACGGGTATGTTTTTAAATCAAGAAGCAGAGATGGTTACCCGCGCTCGGCTGGAGGGAGAGATGTAGTAGTAGTTCTCCTTGTCACCCAGTTTGATGCGATGTTGGCAGATTCGAGACAAGCCACTTAACGCACATTTTCTACAAGAGACCAGCTGTCAACACTTAACAACAAACACTGAAGACAAGTTTCAAATCTTCAGCTAGTCCAAGAAAAATCTGACATTTGTCCAACACTGTACACAGCAACAACACAAAGTGGAGACATCTTTCAAAAGACAACCGAGTAACAAAGTTAAATGTGGAAATATTTGGACGTTTTCATGCAAACGGACACAAGCAAGATTAAATCTGGAGCGTTCATTAACACATCTGCTTTTTGATTTTCTGCACATCTGGATGTTAAGACTCAATCCATGCTGCAGGAGCAAAAGTTAGTGCAAAGCTGATTCCTGAGGGGACTTACGTCTCTATTGAAGCCCTATAACCACTGAGGAAAAGAGAATAAATCAAAACTGGGATTAGAAATGTGCCTGCTGATTCTCAGATAACAGAGTGAGATGTGAAAATTTCATCATGAATTACAAGTGAGTGAGTTGGGTATAAAGAAAGACGAGATGTGTGAATTAGTGAAAACAGAATGATAAGTGTAATTTTCACTCACTTTGGACCTCCACACTCTAAAGCAGATGCTTTAACCATGGGTAACGCTGACACAGCCACAGGCTCGATGGTTAGAGAGTTGTTTTCCACAGCGCTCTGAACCAGCTGGGACAGCTGGGAGACGCACACACAAACGTTAACATCGGCCCACATTTTAAAATAGAAAAATAGCAGCTTGGTTTGAGAGCTGTTCACCTCTGATCTTGTGAAGGAGAGGCAAGGTCCAATGTCTTCTTTGTAAATGCGACTGAGGAAGGGGGAGGATCGGTCCAGACTCGGCTGTTCCTTCCACAACAAAAACTCTGCAAACTGGATCGAGTCCATCTGCAGAGAAACAGAAAACAGTGAAGTTTCAGAGGAGTTGTAATTTTGCTCAAGAATGAAAGTATTTTTAGGACGAGAATCTAAGCAATCAGGGAAAGTGACAAAGTAAAAAAAACGTACTTAAACATTTATGTTTCTGAAGTCTGAAGTTTTATTTTTTTGTTTTGAAAAATTAAAAGTAAAAACCAGAAATATCCCCAGATTTGTCCTAATATAGAACAAAAAATACAATAGGTAAGAATAGGGATGGTTTTATAAAATTTAGGAGGTAAATATACCTGTCATTTTCATTTTTAGGCAAAATAAATATTTTAGTGAAGTTTGTAAATTGTTAAATTTTGCCCCCCCCACCCCCCACTTTTCCCATTTTTTAAACACTAAATATATATTTTTCCAAGGAAGCCAAGTTTCTATGAAAAAAAAGATGTTATACCTACATAGTACTTTAGCACAATGCAAGGTTTGTGGTGATTAGAGGAAAATGCCTCAATGCCATATTTTAAATTCTGGGTCAATGGGCTGACTTGAAAACACAGAAAAAATGTTTTAAATTGTGTTTTAAAAGTACATTCTCATTTAAAGATCCATTGCCATGGAAGATTTTAACATTTCTGTCTAGTAGAGGGTAGAAATGGTAGGAAAATAGAAAGTTATCTGTAAAAACAGCTAATCAGTAATTTACTGCCAAAAAAGACCCAAGCCAGAGTGTCATGAAAACTTCAATGAAATTGAACAAAGATTTCAGTGCTTTCTTTCTGAACCCAAACAATGCGTTTGAGCAAAAATACCAACAACAACAATGTTAATAATAATAATAATAATAATAATAATAATAATAACAACAACACCTGTTATGAATTTTAACTTTTTATTGCCAATACTTGATAAAAAATGCCAGTCAGGTTCTTTTTCAGTTTAATGTGAGAACAAGAGTTCAACTTGTTTTAGCCAAATTTAAGATCAAAGGGTGGCACAAACAGAGCAAAAAAAAAAAAAAAACCCATCAAAAACTGGAAATAAACTTTTTTCTTTTAAAAAGAGGTGCGTCTCAACTATATTTCCCCACAGAAACTAATTAAAAACCACTGGAACTGAACATATAATCTCTGGAATTAGAAAAAGATCTTTGAAATTGAAATATTGAAAATTAAGGCTAAAATTTGCAGCAAAAAGTAGTCTTAAATGATTAAAAAGGAGGCACACAGAGATTACAGGAACATCTTGCTGTGCAGATTTGCGATTGCTTCTCATGTTCCCAGTATTCAAAACAAACATTCTGTACTTTCTGGATAATTTCAAGATTAAAAGAAAACATCTACCAAGTAAGATWTAGACTTTCTCAGACTGCAGCTGTAAGCTAAATGATCAGACCTGGAATAACTTTCTACATCTGAACTAAAAGTCAAAAGAAATAAATAATAAATGTGTGTTAACTTTACAGTTACACTAACAAACTTTGTTCAGTTAGAACTAGAAYGAATCCTTAGATATCACTGTGGTACGGAGAAGAAAACATTCAGACTGCAGAAGATAACAGAAAGCACAGTTATTAGATATGAACGACAAAGCTGAAAGGAGAGTAGTTACCAGTTTCCTGTCAGTACCAAAGCCCTCTGCTCCTGTCAGTGAGGGACAGACTGACCTGGCAGCAGGAAGAAAAGCAGAGAGAGGAGAGCAGGAGCAGCAGGATGAGAGAGACAGGAAGCACAAGTCACAGAAAGGTTAGCAGTGAGGAAAGGAGCAAAGTGAGCTCAAAGGACAGACTGAAGTTTATAACAGATCAACTTCCTGTAAATTACCTCTCTCTCCTCTTTAACCACAGACTGACTGGAAACAGTGGAAGCGTCGGAGGTTTGAAAAGCTCCGCTGACGCTCTTGTTGCGGACGTGGCTCCCTCCCCGTTTGTGCGATCCTCGGGTCCCTGCGCTCAGCTGAGGGTGCAGCTGGTGGTTGGGTGAGGAGGGAGTGGACGTCAACACCAGAGTTTTGAGCGCAGTCACCTCTGCTTGCAGAACATCAATCTAAGGGCCCAAAAACAGAAAGAAAAGAAAAAAGAAAGATGTCAAAAAGTGTCAAAAGCCCTATTAGAAGGAAATTAAATGATTATAAAAGGACATTTCATATTTAACTGACTCGAATATAACGTGACGCACCTTCCCCTGAGCCTCTTTCAGTTGTTTCTCTGCTCCTGCTTGTTTCACGTTAGCTTCACGCACCATCTTATGAGCTTCCTGTTTAAGAAAAAAAATTAAGAAATATAACGGATTTAACAACCCTAGAGACAGATTCATGAAACAACAAGAAAAGCTGTTGATCAAAAATGCTTAAAAAATAACTACTTAAAAATATCTGTATTAAACAATCAAATTAACTTATTTGAGTAAGAGTATCCACCTGGGTGGAAAAGTTAAAGAGCTGTATAGTTCTGTGATAACTCTATACCTTACAGCTGTGACAGTGATGAGTCAACACTGTAATTAAAACACGAGAATGGCCACTGGTGGCACTAAGCAACATTCATTCTCACATAGCACCCACCACAGTGTACCACGAGGAACACGGTCGAATGCCTTCTCCAAGTCAAAACACATGCAGACTGGATTAGCAAACTCCCATGACCCCTCAAGGAYCCTAGTGAGGGTAAAGAGTTGGTGCAGTGTTCCACGGCCAGGACGGAACCTGTTCCAGAATCTGAGGTCCGACTATCGATMGGWCTCTCTTCTCCGGTACCCCTGAATACCAGGGAGGATAAGGAGAGTGATGCCCCTGTAACTGGAGCAGACCCTCCGGTCCCCTTTTTAAAGAGGGGAACCACCAGTCTGCCAATCCAGTGRTACCRCCCCCGATGTCCAAGGGATGTTGCAAAGGCGTGTCAACCAGGACAGCCCCGCAACATCCAGAGCCTTGAGGAAATCAAGACAGATCTCATCCAGCCCTGGAGCTCTGCCGCTGTGGAGCTTTTTAACTACCTCAGCTCCAGTTATGGACAGATTAAGGGGATTGAGAAAGTCAAGTATTCCTTCCACCTCCCATCAACAGCACTGGTTGACAGGGACATGCACAGACAGACGTCAGGTGGTGCTTGAGCGCCTGCCCTTTTCCCTCCAGACCATCAAGTGCCCCTGTCGAACCCGCTTTTTTTTTTGTAATGCTCCATCTGTCGCCCTTGGTTGCCCTTCTTATTAAGTGTATACAACTATAATGGCAACAGTATTAATATTATTAATAATAATATTGCCCTCACACTCCCTCCCTTCACCAAACACACATGCGGGCCTGCAGAGCTCACTCCTGCTCGCTGTCCCTCAGTGAACGCGCTGCGCGCTCGGACAGGAGGAGAGCTGCTGAAGCAGCTCCTCTCTCTTCTCTCATCCACACAACAGAGGACAGTTATAATCAGCAGGTAATTTACCTACAGCCCCAGGCAAACTGTGTGGGACTGTCTCGCATGTTGCACTCTTGTCCCGGTGTCACGCAAGTTGAAACAAAGTCCCGCRTTTGACTGATCAAATTATAACAAGACATAAAAAGAAAAAAGAAAGGGAAACAATCGACAGACATTTTTTTTATTGGCTGCAATTTACAACCATTAGAAAATGCCTCCTTATTTCTCTCTCTGCCTTCTATGCAGAAGGAGGAGAGAAGGAAAAAAGGCAAAGACGCAGCAGCTGCCAATCAAACACACGCAGCAGCGTGTTCCGCGCACCGCCGCCACTAATAAATATCTAAACACGTGAAAGAAAATGGATTTTATTTATGCAGAATGTGATGGAAACTATGTCAAAAATGTAGCAAAATAATAACTGGAAAATAGGTGAGGAAAGTGAAAGATGATTCTCAGAGAGAAAATTGCCAAACTTTTTTCCTGAAGGAAAACACACCGTGAAGCAACTGTCTGTAAGAGATTCACACAAGAAACTTACAGTTCAGAAAGCTGCCTGTCAGACTGTGGACAGAGAACAGCACAGATCATCTGACCTGCTTATGGTTTTGTTTTGTTTTTATCATGATAAAAAAAAATTAAACTTTAATTATTTTTTCGAGAGTCTTTGTCCAAGACCTCACCGAACTCCTTCCACATCTGAGCTTTTGCCTCAGCAATGGCCGGGGCTGCGGCCCGCTTGGCCTGCTGATACTCCTCAGCTGCCTCCGAGTCCTACCAGCCAACATGGACTTCATTTATTGATCACAAATTCCCTTCAGTGCTTTGCAGTAACTGTCAGACTTAGAAAGAAAGATGACCTTAATAACTATAATAACTGTCTTAGACTAGTATTTACAAAAACATGATACTGTCGTCTTTGAGGTGTAGGTTCAGAAAATTACAATAAATATTAGTAAAACAGAGTGTCTTGGCTGAGTTTAGAGTTTTTTTATTCCATGATTGCTGTCATGCTGGCAGTAACTGAGGACTCGTGGCAACTACCAATATGGTGGCCAGTGTTGTATAAAGTACTTCAATGTGATACTTGAGTAAAAGTATCTTATCATAAAAATACTTTGGTAAAAGTTAAAGTCTTCTCTAAAAAATATTAATTGAGTAAAAGTCTTAAAGTATCTGATATTTTTTGTACTTAAGTATCAAAAGTAAATTTCTGGCACAAAATCTACTTAAGTATTAAAAGTAAAAGTACTGAGTAAAAGTGAGCAGTTAGATTTTCCAAAATGACATGTATTAGGAGGTTACTTCTCAAAAAATATTTTTTTTTCTAACGGCATGCAGGTGTCATGGGTTGTGTATAAGCTAATAGTGTGTCAGAATAGTATATATTTATACTTCTCATCCAACCACAATTAAATTCACTCTATCCAGGAGAGACAATTTATCAGGGTAGTATTTTTAAGTAATAACACCTCAGGATTAAATAGGAGTAACGACTTTCTACTTCTTAACTTTTTAAAAAATGTAGTGAGTAGAAAGTACAGATAATTGTGTAAAAATGCAATGAGTAAAAGTAAAAAGTATGCTGAAAAATAAGTACTCAAGTAAAGTACAGATACCCAAAAATTCTACTTAAGTAAAGTTACAAAGTATTTGTACTTAGTTACTTTAAAACTCTGATGGTGGCACAAATTCTTGCCTTATTGTTAGCATACATCTGTCAGTTTTTTGTTTCTACAGACCTGTTAGGAGGTACAAGTTACATTATCTCAGCATTACTCATCTCCTTTCTGCTTTGTTGTGCAACTCTGTCCTTGTGTATCCAAGTGATGCATGCTTAAAAACATTTATTAATTCTTACAGCGTCGCTCCTCAACAGCTGTCTAATGACCCATCTCTGCTGACCTCAAACAGGCTGGCAGTCAGCTCCTCCAGCTCCTGCTCCAGCTGATTCCTGACTTGTGACAGACGCTCGCACTCCTTGTCTTTTAGTTTCAGTTCCTGAAGGGTGGAGAAAACAGCGCGCACACATTTCATTAGGAAGAACATTTGACTTGTCAGCTCTTTTCTTCCTCACCCCCCTGTTTCGTTTCACACCAACTTTTGTCTACGTATGCAAGAATAAAAAGGTTACAACACACCCTCTTTGCCGCGTCTAGTTGTTCCCTCAGGATCTCTGACCCTTTTTCTCGTATTTCTTTTTCTTTAATCTCCAGCGAGGAGCTGCGGAGCCGGGTGACCTCGCCATGACGTCTGCCTGAGGTGGGCCCGACCTGGCCGCCTCCCTCCACTCTGGACTCGGGCTCTGGATCCAGATCTACCAACCTTCACAAAACCACATAAACGTGCACAATTCAAAGTTCACTTTAAAGTTTGAGACATACAAATAGCACTTCTGCGTCAACAAGGTGATTCACAAAAAAATACTAGCTGAAAACTGGATGTAGTTCATTTGCTGCAGATAGTTTCTCTTTTTTTTTARGTCTGAAATTTTATTTGTCCACTTTATGGTTTTAAGTGCACACTAATATGCTGTCATAGACAGGTACAAAGACTGGACAAGAAGTGAAAAAAGCAGCCAATGTCAAAATAGAAACTTTGAAAGACCTTCAGAACTGTTGAAGAACTAAAGATCAAGATTTGAAAACTAAAGGAAAATCCTGGTTCTTTGGAAACATCGTCAAAAAAACTGGAGGTTGTTTAAAATGTCCGTACTGTAGCTACTCATTCTAGATGTCTACAGTCCAATTCAGCTGACTTGTTTTTTAAAAAAAATATTTTAAATGTACTGTGATGTTTGGCTGAGCTGATGTTCTGAATTTTAAAGCAATTTCAAATCACAAAATGTTGTTTRACCCAGAGGGTTTGCTGAGGTTTTAAAATTGTATAACAGCACATTTTCTGATTCATAATTGATTTTCGAAGCTTTTTTTTTTTTTTACAAAGTGGAAAATAAGAAAAAAAACACTGGATGTTTACGCTGATCTGACCAGTTGGTATTTCTGCCTTATGACTTGCAGCGTGTGACAGAACACAATAAAGGAGCCTCATAAAAATGTCCCCAGTCTGCAGCTTGTATAAGATCAGGACCACGAAAACAATTTTATTAGGGTCAACAAATCAGAGATGCGTCAGAGATAACATAATAGATCTCTAACCAGGTTTCTGTGCCCACGTATTTAGTAGAGATGGACACTGTCACGACAAAAAGACAAGGGAGAAATGAAGGCCCAGCTTGTTGATTTTTATCAGTATATTACAAACATAACGCCAAGCAGAACATCCCAGGGATGAGACTGCTCCGAGTTTGAGCAACAGAATGTGTCTAACCAGACAGTCAAGAGGGCGTTTATTTAAACAAAGCTCATAATTAGGACACAACACCATAACCAGAAGGCCATATCTCTCAGAGGGCAGACCAACATCAAACTGAATAGATGCATTCTGTTCACAATAAATGAGGACATCTCCAAAAACCCAGAGTTCATCTTATGTTTCCATAACAGGCATTTCAAGTCCAAAGACAGTACGCAAATTGTTCAGTAATCATTTTAACCATTATCAAATWCACACACACCTGATGAGTGACTAAGCTCTGACTGTTTTCATGCTTCACATTCTTTAATWTAATGTGAAAGAAGGAAGTACTGATTAAAGCTAATTTAATAGCTACCACTTCAGGACTAAATTGTTTATGCTCTTGTTTTAATTATTGTGTCCATATATGACCAGGATGAGAATTTGTAATTAATATTTACCCTAGTTCTGCTACTGAAAAGACTAAAGCAAATGAAATAAAAAGGTTGGGTGGGTGTGTGACACATACAGCTCTGCTACAGCAGTCAGGACATTTGGTTTACTTCAGGTTTTACCTGTCCATTGACCAAGTAGGAGGGGTGCACGTGTAGTTCGGCAGTGAATGTCCCACTTTGTGCTCTTTTCAAAAGGAAACTACAAAAGCAGGAGGAAGCACGAGATAAGTGAGATGACCAATGCATATAATACTGAACCATGACTTCTGCCTTCTTACTTGAAAACAAATGTTCGCACATGTTCGCCATGTGTTTCCAAACTAGAGGTGTGCAGATGTGTCTGCCTGTGTGGTGTCACATGAGTTGTTTTATAAACATTAGAAAAAATTACTACAGCTCAACGTGTTAAAGCATGCACCAAGGTAAAGACTGCAGGCTCAACACCTGAAGAAAATTATCTGGGGTTTATCTTTTTATTGTTTTATTAAAGAGGAATGACCCGTTTGTTTACATGGAGGCGGCAGGACTTTTACTGGAACCAGTCTACAAGGAAGTGTGGTCTCGTTTCAACCTCATCTTTCAGGTCAGAAGTCTAAATTTCTTATGGAGTCGATGTGCTGAACATAMCAGCCCCATCTGAGAAAACACTGGGAAATAATTTGCTGCGTTACCATATGATAGCATTGGCAGTACATTGCTAACAGGTGCTAATAAAAAACTATTGAAAAAATAAAAATAAAACAGTGTTATCAGAAAACATGAGACCTGTGCAAGCAAAATGATTGACAATGAGATTTTTTTATATTAAGTTATTAATTTAAAATTCTACACTTCAAAAGCCTCAAAAAGTTAACTTCTTTGTTAGCAAAAGTCTTGTTTACAAGACTACAGGTTTGAAAATTCAAGCTCATGTTAGAAAACATCCATTAAATGCAGATTAGGAAGATTATTATACTATTTTAGTTACTAGTTTTTACACAAATCTCAATTACAGCAAAAATTAGGGCTGTGTATTGGGAAGAATTTGGCGATACGATACATATCATGACAGAGGGGTCACGATACGATATATCCTGATATATTGCGATACTATAAGCAAGGTGATGTATCGCGATTTTTTTGTCCAAAAATTCTATTAAATAAAAACTAAATTAGGGGAAAAAATGAAAAACCAAAACTCATTGGTCTCAGAAAATTCTAATATTACATAGACATGCTTTTGATACATTTAGCTGTGTTCTGCTTTGTATGTATTTTATTT